TTGCACTGCATGCACGAGTGCCACGTGTCACGAGAGAAGCTTCCAAAGTCAGAGTGGGTGTGCAGGTGTCGGCAGAGGAGACGTTCGTCCAAACGAACGTGGATTTAACAAAACTGAGTTTTTGAAAATCTCTCTCTCACCTGCACGCACTCATCTTCTTCCTCAGAACTCAACCCTTCACTTTCTCTACCTTCTCTCTAGAACCAGTCCACCTTCTCTCTACTGTAAACTCATCACTTTCTTCTCCGATCACGTTTCAGAACCGTGAGGACGTTCCCTGAGACGTGGGCGTTATTTTTGGACCGAACAGAATTAGAATCTAAGCTGGTAAGTTCTCATCTCTGATTCGCTCGTTCATTAGGGTTCATGTGAAACCAGGTTTTGGGTTCATGCATGGGTTATATCTGAGATATTTGATTTTTGGTGTTTAGATTTAGTGGAAGTTGTTAAGTGAACCTTGGAGTAGAGCGCTGTAAGAGAACAAACCAATCCTTTGCATTAGGACAAGTTGCGTACGAATCCGGGTAAGGGAAGCTTATTGATTTAATTTATACTTGGATGTTTGTATGTAAGCATGATATTAAATGAATGTAGGAAACGTATGTTGGTTGAGCATGCTTGAACGATCGCTGTTATGCATGAGATGAATATGATATATGTTGGTTGAACTGCATGATGATTTTGATACGTATGGTTTGAACGTTGGATGAGTTTTGTATAGTTGATTTGTTAATATGATGAATTCTATAAAGTATGTGAAATTAATGGTGTATATGAAAGTATAAGATTATGAATCGTATGAGAAATGTGAGTTGATATAGTTGAAATAAATCTGGATATAATGATTTTCTCTATGATAAGTTACGCTCGTCATCGTACGGTCTTATACCGTTCGGTTTTCCTAAAATTTGACTTAGAATGGGATTCTTTCATTCAGAAAGAATTCTGAATCTAGAACGAGCGTCCCCATTCGAATTACTATGTTTGAGCGTTCGGCTCAGCATAAAGATGTCGCCTACCTTAAATTAAATAATATTAAAATGAGTAACGGTTGGTCTTATACCAAGCGTTCGTCCTAAGTAGCGCTCGGTCTTACACTGAGCGTTCGTCCTCTTTAGTACTCGGTCTTATACCAAGCGTTTGTTCTAATTGATTATCTGTCTTATAACTAGCGTTCGTCCTAAGAAGTGTTCGGTCTTATACCGAACGCTCGTCCTTACTGTTGATTTTCTAAATGAGCGTAAATAGCGTTCGTCCAAATTATTAGTAACAGTATATTGTAGCGTTCAGTCATTGACTGGCAGTCTATCCCTTTAAAACGATTGTTCTCAGTGTAATTAAATAATTGTCTTGTTGTATCTTTATCCATTTGGATTGATCAAGAATCTTTGTACGTAAATTATTCTGAACATCCATTTTGTATCTCTAAGAGTCGGTTCGTTCAACTGATTCGGGTAGCCTTGACGTTCGTCGTATAAGTAGGTGTTAGGTTATTCTGATTGACAACAAAACTCCTAAATCTAATTCTTAGCGTTCGTCTTCGTTCTTCAGAAGTATGAACGTTCGTTATTTTATACTTTTAAAACTGAAGCTAAAGATGATGATAAATTGTAAGATGTTGACGTGTGAACACTATTTTGAATGATTATACGATTATGGAATTTGAACGAGCGTTCCAGGGAGGAACGACTCTTACATATATTGAATATTAAATTTGGTAAAGTATGACTGTGGATAAGTTAAGACTCGCTGTCCATCCTGATGTTCCGTGAGTACTCATCCTCATGTAGAGGGAGTATGTCATGTGTGGGAACGGCAGGAGGTCCTTAGTCCATAAGTTAACATGGGCGACGTAAGAACGGACTAACCTCGAGTGGCAGCTGTTTGGTGTATCCCAGTTACTACATCACTCGGGTGCAAGGACGCTTGTAACTACATAGATTCATACAGTCCGGACGGTCGGTCTAGTATATATGTATATATATTTTGGATGATGTTATATGTTAAGTTATGTGCTTATGTGAATTGAAATGTTAGAGTATATGTTGATGTATAAATTAAATTACTTAAGCTTACCCTTTTGTTCTTTCCTTGTGTTGTCTACTGTCTATTTACGTTCGTCCTGTCTTGCAATGATCATCCGTGTGGATGTGAGCAGAAGGCGAGGCCACTCTGGAAGACGTCATTGAAGAAGAAAATCTGGTCGAGGTGGAAGTCAAAGCCGAGCCTTAAAACGCTCGTTTATGTTAGGAATGTAAATGTTAGTTTCCATTTTGACGTTCGGTTAAATATTTTGTAAAACTGTTCGTTCTAGACTTTCCCTGTTTCCGCTTAGTGCACGTTTAATTCTGTATTAAAGCCGTTCGGCTTTGGAACCTCGTTTTATTAATGTAAAGACTGAAATGTTTACTGTTAATTGTAATTAATTCTAATTATGGTAATTACTGTATTTTGGGATGTTACACATAGTACTTTCGTATTTAATCCTGCATTATCTCCATAATATGTCAATTTTATTTTTTATTATTTTAAAAAAAGGTAAACCGTTTTAACTTTATAATATCAAAATTTTCGATTTTCATTTTTGTCATGAGAATGCTTTATTTGTTAGCTCTCTCTATCCTTCTTTTACAATCTGAATTGAAATATGCCCAGGTATCTTATTCTTATGTATTTAAGGGAAAGTACGCATACTAATAACACCTCTGTGCAATGACTTATTCGTGATAACAAACAAAGAACCTACTCAAATAAATGCCCAATTGAAACGAGTGAGGGATCCTTCTCAAGTTCAACAATTCCAACTATAGAAGTGCTTCTGTTCTTCAAAAATCGGCTATACCATTTTGCAGAGAGCTTTGGGTGTCTCTTCAACTCTGGATCATCCCTATCAACATAGTATAGGCCAAAGCTAGCTTCGTATCCATCCAACAACTCGTACAAATCCAGGAAAGACCAGGAAAAATACCCCTTTATGTTTACTCCATCTCTGACAAATATTTTGAGGTGATGCAGAATATTAGAGAACGCATAAGAGGTGTTTATGTGAACACTTACAGAAAATATAAACCATTGTATTACAATCTATTGATAACTACTTTGTTTCTTCTAGTTGAAATATTTGTGGTCTTTTGCTTGTCGGTGGGTGGCTGTTCTGGGTATGTTTGATAAATTTTATACATTAGTCACTTCTCAAGATTAGTTATAAACAATGTAGTCCAATAGATCAGTTATCCATAATTTAGATTCCGCACTCGTAAACAAAAAGCTACTCCACCAACTTAAGGAATTCATGTGGAAGTGAATAAAAAAAGTGTGATATATTATGAATTAGAGCAGTGGTAACATACCTCAAGGCATCAAGCACTCCACCAATATATTCATGCAAGTATTTCACCCTTGACACGTCTTGTAGTGACGAATTGCTTGCTGTCCGTTGACCTAACAACCCAAAATTTAATCAGTAACTTGTTCAATCGTTTGAACTTATCATGTTCCACAGGAGCAACCTAGATTTCATTAACAGGATTTCCTAGTTTACAATTGATACATACGTAATAAAATTGTTGAGGAAAGTTCCATACAACTAAGTCTAAAGGTAGGAAAATACAAGTTAAGCGCACTATGCCATTAATCAATGGCATTGTTAGTCGCATGTATATGGGTAAACAGTATAAACAGGAATGAGCATGATCGAAATAAAAATGCCTAATGTAATCAAGTTGCTTTGTTTACAACAACAGAACTATGACCCCGAGCTTAATATTCAATCCGTATAACATCAAGGGTTGATTTTACTAAAAAGTATTCATTGCAATTATACGTAATGTTAGAGAGACAGACCATTTTCATGAATGAATATAGGAGGGTTGCCATAAAGGAGCTTGAATTTATTCAATTCTTCTCGCATAACCCACGGTGTGATAGGGTACTGAATCATGTAAAGCGAAAAGTCAGTTATTTGCACAATGGATAATCTAAAAAATACAACCATTTTGTTACATTTTATTTTATTGTTACCTCTTCATTTGAAAACAGATGCGTTCCTACTGCAAAACCAGAAAGACAAGTCATTATAATGTAACGTTGTCCAACTTTTTATTATTTTTTTTCATAATATCAAATAGATCATTAGGCTATGTAAGGGGTATTACATTAGAGTGAAATGGTAAATGATGGGGAAAGTTCACAAGTTGAACAAACCCATATGTAATGATATCGCTCATGATCTAAATAATTAAGATTAAGTGCTATAAGTATTTTTTGTCATAATATACCGTACAAATTTATTACTCCTACTCAACTAAATCATATTTGGATTTTTATCTCTTTAATCTCTTACTAAAATTACTATCCGTAAGCCTAACGAATTACTTACAAATCTTCGCAGCCATGTCTGCGGCGTAATCTCTCAGTTGGTTCTTAAGGACGTCAGAATTGTCTGTGATGTTGATATTGGTGTAGTGAATGAGTCCTATAAAATCAAATGAACCCTTGAGTTGTTCAGATTCACGAGTTGTGAAGGCCGGAATTCTTACACCAGCATTTTTCTTCATGGAAATTGGATAGTCTCCATACTGCAAGGGTTCCATAACCCTGCAATATCAAAGCATACTTCTAAAAATGCCAAGTTTATTATTCTTGGACATATGAATTGGTATGTCCAATTAAAGAAAGCAGTTTTTAAGAAGATAGAATAGCATGCGACAGAACTTCAGTCAAATGAAGTAAGTGGAAGAAAGAAGTAAAACAAACCAATTTTAAGGTTTGTTGCTTACCAACCAACCATAAAGTCACGAACTCGTTGAGTTGCTGCCCTGTCTTTCTCTGTATTTGTTTGAGATAAAAGTCCAAACAAGAAGATAGAGATACCAACAAATCCATGTTGTTTGTTCTGCAATGTTACATGAGTTTCTCAGAAAAAGAACATTCTTTGCCAACAAAGTTTGGATGTGAGATGAAACAAAGTCAATATATATAGAGATTGAAAATCAGATAAGGATTATAAGTTTAAGAATTTAAGTTGAAATGGTCAATTAATCCAAAATCACATTAGGTATAACCAGATAATAACAATGTCAGAGATAATAATTAAAAACTCTTCGCACTGATAGTGATTACAAAATGGACAGATCCTTTAAGTTTAGTGCGAAGTATATTTGTTGAAGATTTTGCCATTTAAACATGTATATGTAAGATTAGGTATGTACCGAGTATTTTCTCCGGTACAATCTGGCAGCTGAAGAGTGAGCTAACAAAATATGATGAACTGCCAAGTAGGGTTCATATGTCGAGTTGCCCCTATTGTTCTTTATAGCACAAAATGGGGGAGAACATCGTAGAGGTGGGCAGGTTCCCTGATCATACCCACCCATGGCAAAAATGTTGGGTTCGTTAACAGTCGTCCAATACAAGACTCTGTCGCCAAACTCTCTAAAACACACATCAGCATAGTATGTGAAGTCTCTTCTGCATTTACATCCAAGTAAATTATCTGTTAGTATTTATCGATAGAAAAAGTTAATTTGACATCTGACCTTTTCTCTTACTTCCATTTAACAATTTAACAATTCTACATAATAATAAAAATATAAATTAAATTGTTAAATAAAAAAATAATAAAAGTATATGTGGAATAAAAGTACAAATTTGTAAAGGTCTCAACCTACCGAAACCCATTATCGATTCTGTTCATGATTTAATATAACGAACTTTTATGCAAGACAAAAGCGAACGCGCACACCCATTGTTAGAGTAGTTAGAATTTCCCTATAAGTATCAAGAGATCAGAAGCATACATGATGTCACGACTAACCCATCCTCCATATTCATCTTCCAGAACCTGTGGAAGATCGTAGTTGTGTAACGAGACATGTGGTTGGATTCCTGCTCCAGGGAAATAGGGTAACTATATCAGTTGTAGAATTTGAAGAGAACACAAATTTTTATTTATTTGCAGTGAATTCAATGCATGGCTAATTTTGCAAACTAATTAAGAGACCAAAATTCAAGTCTAACCATTGCTGATGAGCTGATTGATTAGATTGTTGTAGTACTGCAATCCTTTGGGATTAACGGGTCCTCTACCATCTGAGGACAAACATAAGCTTTTTGAAAGTGTTGAGAATGGTTTTACCCTGCAAAGATATATAGATATATAAAATAAAATTCAAGGGTTTGTGTTGAGTATCATACTTGGTAACAGTCTGGACCAAGAAATGGAAAATCTATAGGCTTCAAGTCCTGTTTCCACCATTAGCATCACATCTTCCTGCATTACATATATTTTAGGGAAAACAATTAAAATCAAACGGTGCTACAGTGACGCTTCAACATTTCGAACAAAACAGTGGTTAAACTTGTATTTTTAGATCAGCTTATGCCTCAATCTTCTCTAATCTTCCACAAATGGGAGAATCACAACACGATGAATGCAATAACGGGCAAATAAAAAAAATACTGAGGCCAAGCGTATTCACTTTATACTTGTGGTACCCATCACAGGCTACATCTCCATTTCCTCCATGTCCATATCCTGTTCATTAAAAATATCCTGTTCATTAAAAATTATTGCATAGACTGAAGTTTTAAGTGAATAAGGTCGGTATGTAATTGAAAATACAAAATAGATTAGTAAAATTATATTCTCTGGTGTTTCATCACTGATTCACGTTTCAGTAGATCTATGAATGATACGATAGATGGTTTTTCTTAAGAGGATGTAATATGCTATTAAAGTTACAAAATAAAACCACACACGGAAAAAGGAGGAGGGGAGGAGAGAATTGTCAGTCGATATTTCATTATCTGAATTTTGATTCTTCGCTGTTGTAGATATGTGCAGCTCATAGTCTTTTATAGGAAAATTCAAGTAATAAAATATTACAAACTTTATGCCTTTGAAAAGATATAACAGTGGCAACAAATCCTTATTAAATGTCTTCAATATTGCATATGGTTTAAAAAATGAAATAATTCTAGATACCATGCATTACATTGGATGTTGAAGTAAAATGATGCAGGTTTATTCATTATTTTTAAAGTTTTAGTTCTTATTTGTTTCTTTGTATTCTTTCCCGTCCTCCTTTTCCTATTTGTTTCTTTGTATTCTTTCTCCTGTCAACACATTCCTTTTCTTATATATATATATATATATATATATATATATATATATATATATTAGGTTAAGTTTTACGTATTTTTAAACTCTTATTACATCAATTAATTCTCATAAACTCCAAATTATAGGTTCGTGAGATTGCATTAATTCAGAGAAAGTTTGGAATCTAGAAAAGATAGTTTGACGTTTCCCAAAATGGAATGCACTTGCTACGTAAAATACTTAAAAAAATACCTAAAAACGTAAAAGTTACAATTTAAATCATTTTCTTACTACATAATACTTCCATCACCTATGTTGCCAAAAGGTGTCTTTAATGGCACTAAGCAGAAACATTTCATTTTCAAAATTTTGATAAATTTACATTGTTAATTTCAATTTTGTGAGAGTATTAAAAATTTGGCATAATAATTTGGGTTTCACTTCGGCCTTGTATTTTTTTTAATCAATTAAGTCTTAATATTTTTTTTAACTTTACAATAATAAAACAATTATACGATATTATTCTCTTGATTTTGATTTATTGTACGAAATTTCCAAAAATATGAAAAATCTATATTTATATAAAATTGGTAAGAAGGATGGGAAGAAGAAAGAATGAAGAGTGAAGGAAAGGAACCAGCGTGGGCAAAGGTATCCCAAATGCTATCACTTCTTCCTTCTTCATTAGCAGCTCCTTCCACCTGTTTACAATAATAGCAAGAACATATTTACAGATTAATTTGGATTCTCTTTTATGGTGTTATCTTTTCGTTGTAATGCAAAATACACTTAATTTCTATAACTGGAATTAAAAAAAAAAAACGATGAAACGAGATAAATAAATTTATACGAATTAAGCCTGAACCTGGTAAGCAGAGGTGCCTGAACCGAAAACAAAATCGGCCGGGAAATCGTCTCTGTTATAAGTATCGGCCCCGACAACTCTTCCCAAAGCCAAATTCAGAAGCAAGAAAGTGAGCATGATAGCGTTGCTGAAGAATGTGTGAGGTGTTTCCATCGATTCACGCCACATTTGGTCTCAACGTCGTCAAGGACAACATTTATTCGAATTGGAAACGAATATGAGTGGTCCATGTGCTTCGTCTTTCAATTTATTGAGCTGTTGATGTTGAAATTACACACCTTCAATCCTTTTACTCTTTTGTTTGAAATAAATTTATCTAAATCATTTATGGCCAATCCTTTCAATGTTGTTAAAATGTTTACTATAAAAACTATATAATATTTTTAAAAGGGTAATAATTTTAGTAAAGCAATTTTAATTCACAAAACAATTCATCTTATTGTTTTGCGAACAATTTTTTCAAATAACTTGTTATTGCGTATTAAAATTACAATATATTATTAAAAAGTTGTAAAAATGTTTTATTTTTATTATATAGAGAATAAAGTGATATTAATGTGGACTCCAAAACTCTTAAGGGTAATTTTCTAAGATGATTATAGGAATATTTATAATGAACTTGTTAAAATTTCAAATTTAAAATCTTGTAACTATTTAGGAAAGGTTAGAAAAAATAAATAGGTTAATTTTGTATTTTAAAGGGTGACAAATTTTAAAGCAATACATACATTTTAAAAAAACACCGTGAACAAGAAAAATAATTAATTCTGTGTTGGTTGTTGCAATTTAGATCAATGTTCTCATTGATTTATTTACAAGTTTCTTTACTTTCTTTAGTTATTTATTTCTTGTAATTTACTTTTTGTACTCTTTACACTATTTCATTGTAAATTGTGAAGTCCTTGTATCACCACATGCATCAATTCAGATTTTACCATATTGAAATAACACTTCATCCATTGTCATTGTGCTATTATTTCCATTGTTATTGAAAAATAAAAAGAAACAAAAAAACAAATTGTGTAATGGAACCATGCATAAAATTTTAATTGAAATTAAAGTAAAAAAGATGCTGAATTCGTTAAGTGTTTGGTAGAGATTAGTTCATGAAATAAGTGATTTTTACATTAAATTGATCTTCTTATTAAAAGCCTAAGAGCAAAACATATTAGTCAAATTGAAAAACAAAGTATCTTGTGAAAAAGAACAAAAATTGTATCTATTTAGTTTGAAATGATAACAAGACAATGATCGAACTAAATCCTTAGAAAACACTAGGAAATAGAATTACCAAGTAAGCACAAAAGTCAATGGTTAATTTTCTTGTATCTAAACAAATGTCCTAACTAAATTCAATAGTCATTGAAAGATGAAATTTGTTGTTGAGTTAAAAAAGGAGACCTTGATCTAAAGTGGACTTTAAGTAATGTAATTGATGATGAATCACACCTAAATATGTGATTAATGAATTTTGAATATATCATTAAGTTTGTGAACTATAAAAGTAATGTTTGGTTTTGCAAATGGTCAAATAAATAAGTCTTTCAATTAATAGTCTATAAAGAGAGAGATCCTCGATAAGGTCACCATCATTATAACTAAGTTTTAAATTAGGATCAACAGATAATGTGGCTAGTTTGTTACCTAAATAAGAAATATCATCAAGAAAAAAAAGAGTATTTCTCTAACTCAAAGAGACACCTTATTGGGTTTGACAATTTCAAAGCCAAAGAAGTAGTAGACATAAGAATTTTTAGTTTGAACAAAAAATTCAATGCTAATTGTACCTTATCAACATAATAAGAATCAATGTCTGTTAAGATGATGTTGTTTAAATAGACCAACAAAATGAACAATGAAGAAGTAGAACCATGAGTAAATAAAGAGTAATCATTTTTAAATTGTGTAAAACCTTATTGCAATAAGGTGGAAAAAAACTAGTAAAACCTTTGTTTAGAAGTCTATCTCAATCCATATATAAATTTATTCAACTTGAAAACTAATCCTTTTATTATTTTTTTTGTTATATTGGGAAATA